TCAGTCTAGTGACATTATAATTGGAAAAATATGTTGTCAAAAATAAACAGCAGACTGAAAACATAAATTTATTTTGAAATGATAGCATTTTGGGTCAAGGCTCTTCATCAGTTTGTGCCTAAAATATTTATAAAAATGAGAAACAATATAAATAAGGACAATAATAATAAAGGAGCATATATATTGCATCTCATGTATATTAATTGTTTGAAGAACATTGTCTACAATACAATAAAACCAGATAAACGATGCCAATACATTAATAGAATAAAATAATTGCAAGTGAATGAAAAAGTACAAAGAGATAACTTGAAAAGGGAAAGGAAATGCAGGAAAATTTCTCTTTTTTTACAGCTATTAAGCTACTGATTAAAAAAATACAGAAAAAAGAGAGAACATAAGGTGTGAGTGTGAAATTTAGGTCATAGTAAATGACCATGGCAAAATATTAATCAGAAGGAAACATTAAATGAAAGAAAAGTTTTTATTTAGTCTGAAGGGAAAAGATTAGTAGAATATGAGTAAGGCACTGTTTTTGTGGTACACAAGAATGTTTAACTGGAGCAGACCTTTAGAAAACTAGTTTGAGATGTGAACATTAAATGAAAGAAAAGTTTTTATTTAGTCTGAAGGGAAGAGGTTAGTAGAATATGAGTAAGGCACTGTTTTTTGTGTTACACAAGAATGTTTAACTGGAGCAGACCTTTAGAAAACTAGTTTGAGATGTGAACATTAAATGAAAGAAAAGTTTTTATTTAGTCTGAAAGGAAAAGGTTAGTAGAATATGAGTAAGGCACTGTTTTTTATGTTACACAAGAACATTTAACTGGAGCAGACCTTTAGAAAACTAGTTTGAGATGTGAACATTAAATGAAAGAAAAGTTTTTATTTAGTCTGAAGGGAAAAGGTTAATAGAATATGAGTAAGGCACTGTTTTTTGTGTTACACAAGAATATTTAACTGGAGCAGACCTTTAGAAAACTAGTTTGAGATGTGAAAGATCTTGTTTGTCATCACAAAAATGTCAGGAGACTAGCTCATTGATACTACTGTTAGTAGTATGTCTCCTGTGTTTACAAAAACTAATTAACTGTACCAGGATATTGCCCTGGATACACAAAGTAAACCTTATGGGCACAACCTCTCCCCCACTGCTTAGGGCCTCTTCTGACAAAAGATAGGGGAATCATGCTTATTACTTTATTATTATTTTTTTTATGCAGTTCACTCCTAGATTAAGTGACTTGAGTTTTACTATTAAGGTGAGTTACACAATATTATTGTCATGGATTGTTGCAGCTTCATTCAAAACGGTGCTTTGAATAGTAAGCATTATGGTGTTACCAAGTGGTAGACTTAAGTTGATTTATTTTATTTTTGTTCATGTTAGATTTCAAAATGTGATCTTACACAGATTTAATGGTATTCTTTTTGTTTGAAACTACATTTCTGTGTAACTTATTTAAGACAATATCATAATTTAGTTTCAGTTATTAGAATGGTCTGTTGTAAAGAAATGCTTTGTTGTGGCTGATTCATTGATATCTCTGTTTGAATTTGATTCTATTTTTATGTCTAGAATTTTATTTCACAAGGAAAAAAACCCATATGTAAACATATGTTAAACCTGTCCTTAAGTTTTTTGCATTCAGAAGTTTTACTATTTATTGTTATCATGGAAGAGAATTTGACTTTAGTCTCAGTTTTCTTGCACAATACTCTTATTCTTGTAGCATTTACTATGTTAAGTGATTCTTTGTGTGATATGAACTATTATTTAGTAAAATTGTTGTAAAGTTACATAGGACAGAAGGGAAATCCATAATCAGTTGATTACTTAACTAGTAATATATATGGTTTTATATTTTGTAGTTGAGTATTTGTACATACAACTCAGGTCAAAAGGAAGCTAATGAAAATTATATATGCATGTAAAAAATTATAGTTTCTTTGCTGTTTCAAAAATTAAGCATTCAAAATAATACTAAGAACTTTGACCAAAATATTAATATCTTAGATAGAAATTTATATTTAAACAGATTAGTGTTCAGGATGATCATTGCAGTATAGTAGTATCTCAAGCAAGTGAGTATTAGGTTGTCCTTGTAATCTCAAATTCAAGTGTTCATGGTTTTCCACTTTTCTCTACTCTTGGCCTTTTGTTATATCTTCTTATAATTACCTAAATTAGACTAATCCTTAATATTATCCATCTCTCTTTTTCCTTTGTTTTGCTCTTAATTTTGTTCCTATTAATCCTTCTTTCAATAATATTGTTGCGTCAGCGAGGTCACGT